GCTAAACTTGCACTGTGGTAGAAGACTGCTATACATACTGCCCTCTGTGATGTCATATTCCCTGAAAGGAGCTCAGATGCAGAAAGGTATTACAGATACCAGCAACTTTTGTTGTCAGAAACACACAGAGAGAGAAAATTTTGGATGTCAGGGGGAAGTTCTTGACAGAGAGAGTGGTGAGCGTTGGAACAGGCTGTCCAGAGAGACTGTGGATGTCCCATCCCTGGAGGCATTCAAGGCCAGGTTGGATGGGGCCCTGGGCAGCCTGGTCTAGTATTAAATGTGGAGGTTGGTGGCCCTGCCTGTGGCAGGGGGGGTTGGAGCTTGATGATTCTTGGGTCCCTTCCAACTCAAGCCATTCTATGACTCATGCTATGAAATGAGTCAGGCTTGCCACTTCTTTCATGCCTTCAAGAGACTTAGAAATTGTTTTATTTGTGATGAAAACAGCAATGCTATTGTCTGCAGGCTTCAAGACATTATCATTTGCAGCTCCAGAAGGATTTCACGTAAAATTTTAATCTCCATTACATATGAAAAATAAGAATGAGAAAGCTCTGTTAGATCTTATTAATCCACTCCTGATCGAAATAACATGCATCTCTGACAAATCAATGTACATGAAATAAACAACACGCTGCCACGCAAAACAGCACTGGATTCAGTTCAAGGACACACAACATAAACTATCAGTAACTTACAGTATTTCTTGTTTGCTTCAGCTGTTAACAGACCATGGTGCAAAAGTTCTTTATAACATCAATTTTTACTTGTTGATTAAATATACAGTGCATCTTAAATATGTCAAACTAAATGACTTCATAGCGAGCCTTTTGGAAGATTAAAAAGAATTAGGAGAACAGGACAGAATCTGTCCTAGCTCTGTGTAACACAGAAGCTTCATAACTAAATAAAATATTCTGTCTGGGACCCTACCAGCTAAAATTTTTTACAGATAAAAATAATTTAGTACTGCCAACTAATATCTGGGATCCCGTACAATAAACGCTAAAATTTCACTGAGATTTTTGGGCTTTGTGAAATCATGAAATCAACAGGTGATCTATTTAACAAGATACCATACTCACACAACATACAACATAATAGCATCCATCCTGAAGTATATTATTTATTTTAAGAAACGAAAAATAGCTTCATCATAAATTACTGCAGCCAACTGCAAAATATCCAGACTTCTGTCGCCTACTCTTTTGAAACATCTGAAGCAGCTTTTGTGAATGAGAACTCAACTACGATGATCTCTGTCTCTAACCAATATTTCATATTCTCCAAGGAAGAGTAGTTTTCTTTCTGGAAGGCTGAATTGGATGAAATATGCTTTGAAGCCCTGCATAAAAGCTGAGCTCCTATAGCCTGACTCCTTCCTAAGCCTCTAAACTCCTCAGTATATCCATCTGACTGCTCCACAGCAGTTTTTACAGAAGTGAAGCTATGCAGTCTAGCTTCATCCAGGATGTATATCAACATCTTTTAATAATTTCAGACAAGTTATACCAATCTGCAGCATCTAGGAAGTTTATATACTACATCTCTCTAGGAAGTTTATATACTACATCTCTCTCTCCCCCACTGGGTTTTAATGCTGACATTTCACAACATCTTCAAGGATTACCAAGGATTATAGAAGCTCCACTATACTTTTACGACTATTAAGCGAACCTGTTGATTTAAATGAAACTAAAGAAATAAGATAGAAAGCGGTAGTGACAAATGGACAAGGAACTGATTCTACAGTAAATGGAGAACCGGGGTAAACAACAAAGACCATAAAGGTTTTAAACAAAAAATAACAGAAGAAGAACAAAGAGAAAGAACTGATTCAGGTCAGGTCATAAGGTAAAAACAAAGATCACCTCATCACTAGAACTGCACCTGGAAAACAGGAAAAGTTCTAAGTAAAGACCTTACCATATGAGCTTCCATGTAAGGGATGGAATATCTCCCATAAAAGAAAAGACTGAAAGAGCTGGGGCTGTTCAGCCTGGAGAAGAGAAGGTTCCAGGGAGACCTGATAGCGGACTTTCAGTATCTAAAGAGGGTTTGTAAGAAAGAAGGGGACGGACTCAATAGAAACATCTGTTGTGATAGAATGAAGGGAAATGATTTCAAACTGAGAGGGGAGATTTAAACTAGATATAATGAGAAAGATGTTTTATGATAAGGCTGGTGAGACACTGGAACAGGCTGTTTAGAGAGGTGGTGGATGCCCCATCCCCTGGAGACATCCAAGGTCAGGTGGGATGGAGCTCTGAGCAACCCGATGGAGCTCTAGGTGCCCGTGTTCACAGCAGAGGAGTTGGGCTAGATGGTCTTTAAGGGTCCCTTCCAACTCAAAAGATTCTCTGATATAACTCTTATCCTTCTTAAAGCTATCATGCTTAATCCACTGAAACAGGACTTGTAATAAGTCTAGTTCATTACAAACTAAACATACAAGTTAACTAATAAGTGGTAGAACAGAGGCATGCAGAGAAGCTTGTCTATGCTCTCACAGCACTTCGCAGGGAAATCACCTGCAGACCACCACTGTGCTTATACCCCTAAAGATTTATTCCAAGATGAAATCTTCCATCTTGAAACACATAAAACAGTTTTTTTTTTTTTTTTTCCCCCTAGAAAGGAAGCTGGTGCAGTAAAGTGAAAAGAAAAATAGCATCATTAAGTGACTCTCCAACCTGAAACATCAAGTAGACATTTTATTATTTCATTGCCTAGGATTGCTTTAGCTTAAGTCTCTCAAAGGCATTTAGGCTCGTTGTGAGCCATCCCAATGCTGGGAAATTTCACACAACAACTCAGCATTTTTATGAAAATCAAAATATAATAAAATAAGGGAAACTTAAGCAGGAACAAATGAGCATGGATTTAAATACTGCTAGAAGAGAACATAAATTTGTTAAATACAGAAAAACAGCCTCACAAAGTTTTACTTTCTTGGTTCACAGCTCTCCTTTCTGTGTGCATTCATACATGCTGATCTGGCAGACAAAAACCTATTTTTACCGCTTTTCATTTCTGTCTGTACCACAGTGCTAAGAGAGCGATGATAATGTAAACTGGATTAATTTTTGGCTGATGCATCACTGACAAATTACTAATCTAATTCTACCTGTAAAACATCTCAGAAAGAGCATACTGGTACATTACAAATGCTTTTTTTTTTAACTACATGTTTAATATTTCTCTCATATATAGCGCTACAGTTGATTCTGTGCCTTACAGAAAAATCATTACTAGATTTCAAAATCACTCTAAAATACCATTCCAAAGCCAACAGCTGAAGGGGGAAAATACTTTTCAACTGTCTGAAGTCTGAAAATTTAACGTTAGGAAACAAGAGTGCCATTGTTAATTATAACAATTTTACCATGAAATTCTTGCAGTAGTAACAGGAGTCCATTCCTTCCTTGAACATATGGCTCCCATATCAACATAAATCCTGGGAAATTCATGACGCCATCACAACTAAAGTGATGCATCATCAATGTAAGTCAATGTATGTCACTCACTGTGACTTCTGCAGAGACTGTATGGATAATCATATAGTGATGTAAATCCAAAGTAATAAAATTTTCTAATGCTTTTATTGCCTATTAAATGTAAATTAATACCTTGGAAGGGAAAAATAGGTCATGTATTCCTCTGGCTGATTCCTGCATAAACATTATGGACTTGATTCAGTTGCTCATACCTATATGTATAGAGAGTATACTGAGGTGTGCTTGGGAGGCCATGATACCCTCAAAAGAATAGCAGAGTCACAGAACCTGAGAAAGGTTTGTACCCTTCCTGAGTGGAAGCCAGATGTCAAATAGGGTAATTGAGGACATCCTGAATGGTACTAAATGCCTACATGGGACAATTTGAGTGGAATCTCTACACCAGTATTCAGTTCCAAACTGGGATGCCCTACACCATCTAGGTGTAGGATATCTTCAGATGTGACATATCTTCAGGTGACCAGATGCAAGTTGAGTTCCATTATTGTCAGTGGACTCAACAGAGCTCCATTTAATTCTAAGAACAACACCTACACCACGTTCCCCGAGTAGCTCCCCAGGACTCTAGATGAAAATCCCACTAATTGCCAAACACAGACTTCCAGCACACACTGCAAACACCTGAGCACAGTTAGGATCCCAAGACAAATTCCACTCTACAGCTAGGTGGGATTATTAGCAATATATGAACCTCCATTTGGCTCACCTAACTGTAGGAAAATGAACTCGACTGCTTATTGCTATGACAGTAATTATTGTGTGATCTTTTACAGTCAAAGCGAAGAGAAGAATCCCTTCAGAGACTGATTCAGTTAAATGCCTAATTTTGGATAAGACTAACCAAAACTTTACATATGCACCAAAGCATGTATGTACATGTTCAGCCACTCTTAATAAATACTGTAGCTAAGTTATACAGCTAATGGCAGTACGAGCAGATGGCTGTTATTTCCTTTACCTCTCAACCTCCTGTTCATTTGTATTTTCTTACCTAGTGACTTATAAACATCAACATAGAGTTTTCTATCTTATTCACTCTCTTTGAACACTTATTACAGTGTTAATATGATCCTAACTCATTAACAAAAAAATAAAAAATGCATTGCATCTTGACAATTTGGTTTTGCACATAACCAGAAGCACTGCTTTTCAAATCTCAGTGCCAGATGAGTACTACAGTTTGCATCAAAGTTTTCTTGCAAAGAGGTCCACAAATTCCTGTTTTAAGCAATGTACGAAAAATACCATGTTGAAAATATGAGTTATGAAACAAAAGAAAAGAACAACAAAGAAGGAGAATACTTTAATACTTCAAAAAATTCATCATTATCAAAATAAATATTAACAATAGTGTTCAAGGAGAAGACTTGCAAGAAAAACTGCATGTTTGCCATTTTTGGAGCTTGCTGAACTGCAAAAGACACTGAAACACTAGGACAAGAAAGCCAGCTTACTAGTAGAAAAATTCAAATAACATACCTTGTTCCAGTCTAAAGCATAAGGAACGTTTTGCAGCCTCTATCTCAGGACTTGGATGATCCAGAACACGTCTGCACCACTGCAGGGGACTCAGTGATTTCTCTTGAAGAGTGACAGTCTTGTTAGGCAAGACATACAACCTTAACCAAAATACACACAAATGTCAGCAAGAAATGCAATACTTAAGATTTTACATTTCTATTCTCAGTTTCCTGCCCCTTTGTAATTTTTAACAGTGCAAAGCTGCAATGTAATTCTAATAACAAGAGATATTCTGAAAATTAGTTTAAACTAATTTTCTTCCCTCTTCAGCAAGCCAGGTGCCAAATTACAGACTTTACAGGTCTAGAACTGCCAATCTAAGTTCAATGAGACCTCTCATTAAAATCCCACATCTCATTATTAATATTGCCAAAATTTCAGAAAGGTTCAAAGTTCAAATGCATTAGCTGCTGCACACCTCTGTAAAGATGTACACACAACAAAGAAGCTACCGGTTTTCCCTTTTCTATTTATCTTCACTGGGGATTAGATAACTTCAACATTCGATTTTGCGTATAAATTACAATTTCACTGTTATGCTTTGCATTTTGACCTATAATTTAATCAACTTGTCAGAACGCTGATGATAATGCAAGTTGTACAAAGGGCCTTCTCCTAGATGAACCAAATGCTGTACAGCAGTCAGACTTCTAAAGATTAGAAAACATTTATAGAGATGTTTTCCATGTTGTTTTCCACCAGGAAAAAAAGCAAAAAGAACTAGCATATATGCATTACTCTCACGCGCTATTCTCATACTACAGAAGGCAACTAATCAGATGGCCAAGCACATTAGGAAGCCAGGTATCAAGAGTGGATTTCATGGGTAAATTCTTGAAGCTGGGATTTGTGCTGCTGCTGCTGCCCTTGCAGATTAGCTCACCAGGGCAGGCATCAGCTCACCTGGGTGAACACAAATCTTCCCAGGAAATGAACTATTATTAGCTGCCCAAGATCGCTCTCAGCTTATCAGCCTCACCACTTCTGATCAATGGGGATGCAGACAGTCTTAGATATTCTGCATCAGCAAAATGCTCCACAGACTGCAAAAGGATTTAGTATCCAAATAGGAGGTACAAAAGACAAGACAACAGCAACAAAAGGATTGAGCTTATCAGGTAGACTGCTTTCAGCTTTTCGACTGTTGAGAGTTTTGGTTCACCAGCTACCCAAGCCAGAGTGTAACTCTTCTCCCATCTCTGCCCTGTATCTCTACCTGTGAGGTAGGTAAATCAGTGCTCCCTGCCCAGCTCACAGCGAATCAATACCCTCACCTCAACTGGTATCTCTCCTGGCAGTCTCAGAGGAGTTCAACTATTGAATTGCTCTAAGGAGAAGACTAATTTCCCCTTGCTTCCTCCAGTGCTTGGCCACATATTTTAAAAATGATCCTGTGGAAAAAAAAAAAAAAAAAAAAGGGAAAAGGAAAAAACGGAAAGGCTTTGAGCTCTCCTGTTAACTTGCAGAAGTGTTTCAAAAGTTAGACATCCAACTGATGAATTCTCAGTGATGAGACATTTAAAGAGCTGACAAAAAGATTTGACTTGTCTGCAATGATGCTAACCCTGTTTTTTGTTGTTGTTGTTGTTGTTGTTTTTTGTTTGTTTTACTGTAGTTAAAAAAAACAACCAGGGCACACAACGGTCTTTGGCCTCCTAGATACCAGACTGCTTTGAAGACTTGCATGACAAAAAGCCCCAGGCAGCTGACATCACACAGCTGACCATTAATGGAAAAGGATGGAAATTCAACCTTGAATGAAAAATGTGCAACAGGTAAAGCAGCTCCTGGCAGAATAAACAAGTTGCCAAATTCTTCTTGTAGAGACATGGCTGTGTGACAAGTAGGCAAGTTTTTATCCTAATAAAGCACTTAGGAATGCTTCCTGGAGGCACATCAAAAAGGACGCTGATCAAGATCATCACTCTGTTGAGGCACACAAAATAATGCTGACTTTGCAGTGCTTTGTGAAACATAAACAAAAAGGAATAATGTTTTGTTGAGGAGGACTGGGGCACACAAATCCTCAGTGGAAAGGAAAGTTGAATCATTATTGCTCCTCTGTCACAAACACTGGGTTGTAGGACTGAAGTAAAATCAGGACCTATAGCCCCAGAGGAACATTGCACAGACCAACAGTGCACACAGTGAAACCACACTAGCAACATGTCCATACAATTTTTGGACGATTCTCAGCTGGAAGAAGCAATTATCAAAAACTGAAGCATGGATAACCTTGCAGCGTGAACTAGATATAACCAACATTCAAGAAATATTTACGCTATTCAGATTAATTTTAAAATATTTTTTCTGCTACCAAAATAAGGATGTTTAAGTGCTTCTCAGCTGCACTACGTTGTATTCTCAGCTCATCTAACCTTCCTATTCAAAAACTGCAATCATTAGAAAAATGATGTTGAAGTTTCAACACATTCTTAAGACGGATATGTGAATACAGATAATGCAGGTCATACTACTGAGACTGTGTGTTGTTTATGAACACAACTGAGCATCAATTATCCCCAATACAGTTATGCAGCATCATCTCCATAGTATTTCTGCAGTGTCTGGATAGTTCCTGAGATGTCTGCATGCTTTGCTGGGGCAAGTTGGAAGCACCAGACGTTATTTATTTACCCCTTCCAAGAAGCCCCTACTTTTTGTTTTCAAGGAATCCTTCTTCTAGGTCAATTTTCTGTTAGGCTTTATCAATTTGCTGTTTGTTGCTGCCTTACCTGACGCACCAGCACACCACCATGCGTCCTGATGCTACATGAAGATACACAAACAACCCTTTAGGTCTATGTCTAAAAGACAAAAGCCCTCCCAAATCCCTTAGGATCTGCTACAATTGGACTGAGATTTTAGGATGGCGAGCGAGGCGGCGCTGCCCTGATAAAGGATTTCCCGAATCCCTTAATATTTTTAATTCCTTATGTAAAGCGGAGGCTGGAACTAGGCTGACACCTCAAATCGGGGGAGGCAAGCATCCGCGGAAGGGAGAATGCAGAAGGGGCACACGCAGGGAGGGGAGCCGAGGGATCAAGCACTGGGGGTCCCCACCGCGCCATATTAAAATAAAGGAAAAATAAAAGAAAACGCAGGATAAAAAAGGCAGATGTAAGTTTAAGCAGCACGAGATCAAGTGGATTTGGGGGCTAATGCTAATAACGCCTTGAGCCAGCAGCCGGGAAGCTCGGCAGCCCCGCAAGGGGCCCGGGGACGGCCGCGGGGGCGATCCGCATGTACCATGTATCCTCGTCCTGGCCGCAGCATCCGTCCTCCAGCTCCAGCACCGCCACCTCGTCCAGCACCGTGGCAACCCCCGCACCGCCGGCCTCCTGCCCGCCGCCAGCCGCCTTGAAGTAGGCGAGGGGCTCCTGCAGGCCGGGCGCGGCGCCGGGCAACGGGCCGGGCACGCACGGCGCGGCCGGAGTCGGAGCCGGAGCCGGAGCCGGCCCAGGGGGGCTGGCGGGGCGCAGCGCGGCGGGGGCCGGCAGCGGGGCCAGCAGCAGGTGCGGGCTGGGCGGGCGGGCGGCGGCGGCACGGCTGCGGAGCTGTTCGTTTTGCTTCTCCAGCTTGCGCACCAGCTCCTGCAGCTTCTTCACCTCCAGCTCGGCGCTCACGGCCGCGCCGGCGCCGCTCCCCTTCACCTCCGCCATCATCGCCGGTTTCAGCAAGGCGGCCTCCATCCTGCCGGCCCTTCGCCGCGCCGCCGCAGGGCAGCGCCCGGGCCCGCGGGCGCTGGGGAGGGAGCGCCGGGAACGAGAGTCGGGACCCTGCGCTGCGCTCCGCCGCCCGCTCCGCTCCGCCGCTGCTGCGCCTCCCGACAGCGGCGGGCAAGGCGCGGGCGGGCCCGGTTCCCTCCCACTCGGCAGCCGGAGCGGGGAGGGAACAAAGCCGGGGCCGCCGCCTGGCCTCTCGGCTCGGGGCCGCGCCGGGACGCCGAATGATGTGAGCCCGTAGGTGTCGAGGCGGTAATTATGCAGATTGCGGTGTGACTGGAAACGAGAGGCGCAGCGGGAGGCTCTGTCGTCGGGCCCGAAAGGAACGGATGCAGGCAGACGTTTGTGGCTACCAGACTTGCTGATGTTTCGGGTCTTCTGATTCACAGCACCGTGTTTTCAGAACAAGTGTCGTGACAAGAGCTGAGGGAGCTGGGGCTATTTACTTATTGAAGAGGCTCAAGGGAGACCGCATCTCTCCCTGCAACTGCCTCGAGGAGGTGGGGGGTCTCTTCTCCGAAGCTGCAGGCAATGGGACAAGAAGAAACGGCCTCAGGTTGCTCCAGAGGAGCTCTAGGCTGGATATTACAAAAAGGGGCTGTGAAGCATTGGGACAGGCTGCCCAGGGAAGTAGTTGGGTCCCCATCCCTGGAAGTATTTAAAAGACATGTAGGTGTGGTGCTTAAGGGTGTGGTTGAGCAGCAGATGTGGCAGCGCTGGGTTAACGGCTGGAGTTGATAACCTTAGAAGTCTTTTCCAACGCAAATAATTCTATGGGTCTATGATTTTTTTAAGATGTGTTGGTGATGAAGGGAGACAGAACCACAAACAGTAGAAAACCACACAAAATTGTTGGAAGACTTTTACCACTAATATTGTCTAGTCCACGACTACAATGACCAATAAACCATGTCCTTCAGTGCCACATCTCCACATTTCTTGAACACCTCCAGGGACGGTGAGACCACCACTTCTCTGTGCAGGCTGTTCCAGTGCCTCATCACTCTTTCTGAGAAGAAATTCTTCCTAATATCCAATCTGAAGCTCTCCTGGCACAACTTGAGGCCATTACCTCTCTTACTGTCATGAATTACCAAGCATAACAAAAACATAACAAAATTGTTAAGTGGAGGAGAACCCCTGAGATGAAAAATGCTCCTCCCTCCCTCTTTCCTGATTGAAAGGTCCTTTAACACAGCCCAGATAATGTAAATCAGTTTGCTACCCTTCCTTATCATTCCTTGTCTAGGAACAAGTAATTTCTTCCAGTGGAAGAAATTATTCATGCATCCCTTCTCCTCAGCAAGCAGGTGGAAAGAGGTTCAGCACCATGCCCAACCAGTGTGTGGGCAACACAACCATTTCACACCCAGGACTGCCCCTTGGGTTCATTTAATCAGGAGAAGACAGAAGTTGCTGCCATGAAGTTTCCTACAGCTCTGATGTGATGTATGTGAATTGCCAGGTCAGCCACTGCTGGTAGCTGTTGGGGTCAATTGGCTGCTACCCAACTGCTGGGTACACCAATCCTGGACAGAGCTGTAGCGATAGCAGCCACTGCCACCTGCAGCATCACAGGTTTCATGTCAGGAGGTACAGGTTCTCTACTCAAAGCATAAACGAATCAACCAGTTCTCAGTTTTCTCTCTTTTGTTCGTAGTCTTTGAGGGGAAACTTTCTTCTGCATATGCACAGGACCACAGCACTATTACTTGTTAATCTTTTAAGCACTTACGCTACCACAGCGTAAGGATAACAGCTTGTACTACAAGAATGGCTGTAAAGATAAAGCAGAGAACAAAGCACTGACGTACTGATTTTTATTTTACCACCAAAGAGAATAAATATAGCCTCTAGCATAAACTAGATTGATCCTGATAGTGCTTAATCCAAAAATTTTGTTTAGTCTCCTCCATCCACTTGGAAGAGAGAAGTGGAAAAATGTTGAATGTAAAAACCTGCTGGCCCCAATTCTGCCACATATCATCCATGTTGGTAGCATAATCCAGTTTTCACTGCTATGGATAGCAAATTGTTGATTACCTGCTTCTGTTTATGCTGCCAACACAAATGCTGCACACAGACACTTGTTGGGGCAGTGGTCAGAGGAGGAAAAGCTGAGTGCTATGCCTTAGTCTTGAGCCAAACTTTTCAGGCAGCTCAAACAAGTTGATTACAAGCAGAATAAGGTTCACTACATCTCACCCCTCTTCTTTGAGTAGGACAGCTTCGAATCTCATCTCTATCCTGCAAGAGCTCAAACTTGTTCATGCTTCTGCTACTATGCTCATAATTGCTGTGTGAGACCGTGTCTTTTTTCCAGGTATTTCCTGGCTGAGTGGAGGTTAACCATCCATTTCACTGAATTGCTTTTGTTGCTGTATGTCGAATGTATGTGTAACATCTTTGCACATGGTGTTGGTGGATAGATGTGTGCTTTTAAGTCCTCTATCACCTCTGTGCTGGCATACTGGTCTTCTGGCAAGAGGGTTAGAACATGATTGAAATATTTGACCTGTTTGCTTTTCCTTAGCAAATTATTTTCCTCCCAATATTAACGTTACTAAAAAAATTGTTAACAAGCTCTACTCAGTGTCCCGATACTAGCTGATTAGGCTGGCCAGCTGAGAACACATACACTCTTTACAAACCAAATAAAGACTTTATGATTCCATTTATTTATTTTTTTTAAAGTTACTGATAAAACGTGTTTTACCTTCAGTCTTACATCTTCGAATGCCCATCAAACCTGTTATTTCCTGGACCTGAGAAACTGCAGTAGCAGAAAAGGTGCTGATTTTGGCTACTTACATGGCCTACTGGAGTAGAAATTTATGAATCAGTATAGTTGTTGATAGGCTCCCAGTGCAGAGAACAAAGAAGCAGGAAAGCCTGCAGATCCCATCTGCTCTTTTCTGATAATAAGCCTGTTGCTTTATTCTGTAATAGCTGCAGGCTGGACCTGCCTTTCAGGCAAGCCAGTAAAGAATTAATTGCAGTAATCCAGTCTGAGCTTCACAAAGGATGTGTTACAATAAGGTCAGAGCACGGATGGTAACCTCCATGCCTAGTGAAATTTTGAGGAGCAGTTCCAGACCAAAAAATGTCTGTGAAAATAACTTCATAGAAATAGAGCCACTAATGCAGCAGCAGCAGTCCATCTAATCAGTGACCGGTAACAAAGGCTGAGAGTGGCTGCTTAGGGAAAATATATCAGAAACAAGAAAAATACTGAGAGCTTCTCTCCAGCATTCTGTAGTCAGCAGATTGGGACATCTGGGCCATTTATTTTTTTATAGCCACCAGTGTGTAATATATTTTGCTGAGACCCATTTTTAAACCATTTATCCATTAGGAACACCCTGTGGCAATTAGCACTGCAATTTAATTACGTATTGTAAGAAAAGCTACTTCCTATTATCTGCTTTAAATCTGCTGCCTAGTAATTTAATTGGGTGCCCCTTAGTTCTGTTTTTTTTCTAAGACAGAATGATTAATCACCCTCTATTCAGATTTTCTTTATCATTCATGACTTATAAAACTCAGTCACTTCTCTTCCAAGCTGACAAGCCCTCATTTATAGAGCCTTGCCCCCACAGAAGCCAGGCTGAACCTCCCGTTCTTTCCCTCCATGATGAGAGCTGAATTTTCCAACCCATTGTTTCCTTTTTATTAGTAGTCCTTGTTTGCTTATATTATGATGGCTTAGGAAGAGATTGTGACAATTTTCTTATAAATCCAAATATATTCAGATAAAAAAAGAACAACTTCCCCAGAAACATATTGTTGCCTTTAGAAGTATACATACATTCATGAGCACACCTTGTCTTGAAAAAACTATAGAATTGCCTCCAATATATCATACCAGATGCCTGCATATTTCATTATTTATTGTAATTGGTACAAATTGCATTGATAGAAAAGTCAGCGTAACTGGAATATAGTTCCACAGAGCACCTTTCATATTTATTCAGGCCCAGTGTCACAGCTGATGCTTCCGATTCATTTGGCACAAGGCATGCTTTGAGCAATAGGTTAAATGCATGTAAGAAGTTGAACAATGGTACATTTGACCCTCTATAGAATTTTCGTATGCACAGTCTGGTCCTAAAAATGTTACTGTTAGATTTAAAAATCAGCTCAAATGTACAGGAGTAGATAAACATCTTCCTGGAGTTACAGGATTCTTCACTATCACTGTCTCTTGCAAACGTTTTATCTTCTTAATTGTTACTTTCAATTTTCTCTTAATTGACTTAATTATTTTTATACAATTTCTTTTTCTAAACTACTATGGTTCTTTCTGATCCTATGTTTTTTTTCATTATTAAATTAATATTAAGCTGAACTACATCGCAGTCATTACTAGCATATATTTTCCATGGGATTAAGTCCAAAACTGCATCATATTCTGCGAGACCCAGTTGCCCCAGAAAATCAGTAGTTACGGTAACTAAAATATTGCCTGTGTATTGAACATAAGTTTGTAGGTCCATCTAGATGGAACATGACACTTGTAGTTTAACTGAGTACTTTTTTGTTTTAATTCATCAGTTCCATATGAAATCACTCTGGTTTACAAATCCACTAACCCCTCCCTTACCTTATCAGCCATAGACAGAAAGCATTCACCTACATCAGTGCAGGTTGTTTCTTTCTTACAAGTTTTCATCAAGAATGACAGAAAAACATCTGATCTCCAGATGGCTAAAAAACCATACCACACATTTTGCCAACAATTCTGTTTTCAGCTTGATTTGTCTTCATGGGACAGGGGATGTTGGCAGAAGGAGAAATGCCTTCATGATGATATGAACGTACTTGGGCAGCTTTTCAACAGAGCGGGGAAAAAATTACTATCCATGTTCGCAGCCCCATCACACAGAATAATTAAGTGACTTTTACAATTTGAAAATTTAATAATGATACCGTAAAGTGGTTTAGAAGTTACCACATTAAAAAACCGAACAGCAATATGCTCAGCACTGGTCACGTCACGTGTCTGGGAAAAATTGATTTCAAAAACCCTCCAGCCAGCACTAAATGTGCTTTTTGAGGAAGCAAATCTGCGTGCAATGACACCAGAGTAGAATTAATGTCAAAAGAGCATGGAAAATTTGCAGTTGCTTCGAAGGTTTTACTTGTGTTAGCATATGCGTATGTTGAACTTTTA